AACATGCTTTAGGATTTGCACACACCCGAGTGCGCCCGAATGTGTCCGAGCTACCCGAATGGGGGCATTCGATGTATACATGCGAATCATGTATAGCTAGATAAATAGTTCAGTGAAGTGTAGCCAAGTTCAACGACATCCCAGGCAGTGTCAGAGTAAAATGCATCAGAAATGTAAAGTCTCATATTATGCCGAAGAAACTTACACAGACATACAGAGGTACCGGTATCGTAGAAGCTGCAGCCTTTGCTTGTTCACATATCCCACGTCAGAAGCTCCCGTAAAGGCTTCGAATGCCAAGAGAACGTAAATGCCACAATTGTAGTTGTCGGTCTGGATACCAATGCTCGATACGTACGACTGGTGATGATACCTATCCTTCGGTATCGGTAGGACCCCCACCAACTTGTGCGCGATAGCTCGGACGCTGGCCGCATAGGATGATGACATCGGGTCGTAAGTGTATATGCTTTCGGTCGATAGGTCGATCATGATAGCGCACCAATGATTTCCATTACAATTGATGGGAACGAGCACCTTTTCGTCCGAAACCCCGGCGAAAAGAGACGCAAGGCCTCCATGTCTGTAGTGTTTTTCCCGTTGACAACTACACCGACGTGGCTCGAATCAATGGTGACCACCCCTGGTGTGTACGCAAACATCACGTTCATCACCGCATACATGCACTCGTCCCCGAGTGACCCTCTGGCAGCAAGGTCTAGTAGATGTATCTGTGCTCCAATGTTAGTCTTACTAGTCTTATTTCGAGGTAGTACAGTGACAAGATGACGTACCGAGTCAGAGCGAATCTGTAGCTGCTTAAGCTTGCTTGGTATCTCATGGTCTGCTTCAATAGTGTAGTTTGGGCTAAGCGGCTGGGTGAAGTCGATTCGGCTGATCCAGTTCAGCGTTTTGTCAATAGAGTCGAAGATTGTAATTGCGTGATGCCAACCTTTCATCAATCGTAATGTCGTTGTTGAGAACACACCCAGACTAATAATCTCGACCGATACGTCTCTCTCCGATAATCCAGACGTTTTGCGTTGAAGCGCGGAAACCTTCGCGTCACACTTTCTGAGTATGTCTTTGGAAAGCACTCGAGTCAGCAAACTTGAGTCTGTCAGCGTCTTGCCTGCAGGGAGTTTGCTCGTCTGTCGGGCCACTGGGGTTTAGGCTTAGTCCCAAATGTATACACTTGTAGTCGTCGAGCAAGTTCAGCGGAGGATGAATACGTAGCGTTCGTGGAAAGGCTTTCGTGAACGGACACGGAGCCACTGCACCACATTACCATGTTTGTACGATCCCAGTAGTGCCCAGTACATCCCGTTTTTTTGTGTCTTTCGTCATCTCGGTTTGCCAGGTCCTATTTCATCATGTAAGTCAAACAGCGTTGAATCTGCCTCTACACTCCGAATCAGCCTGTTTCGGTTTGCTTTCTTTGCTTTTGGCGTGACTTAAGGTCTCCCTCGTTGACGCACTGGACTCGCAATTTCGAACTCCACATCTCTGTCTTCAATATCAACTGTAGATAATCTGGATGTAGTCGCCTGTTGATCTCCTTCACTGGCTTGAGCTACTGATGGTGTTTCATTGACTGGTTTTGATAGTGCAGAAATGCTATGTTCGGGCACAATCGGTCTCGGTTCAGGCACAGTTGGTCTCATATTAACCGCGGTTGTAGGTGGCTCCGGTTCACTTGGTTCTTGGATACATGCACTTGTTTTCGGGGCAGTCAATTTCGATACACTCGCAGCTTGCTCGGGGATGATCAACCTTAAATCGGGCACAATCGGTCCTGCTTCGGGCACGGTTGGTCTTGATTCGGGCAAAGTTGGTCTTGGTTGGGGCACAGTTGGGCATATGTCGGCTAGATCGCGAGTGTTGGCCTCCTCTGTGACACAGGAGGTCCTAGTCTTACTGCAATGATCGCCCACGGCAAGCAAGCTCTCTTCGGTATGCTTAATATCAGCTTGACCAAACTCACAGTCGCCACAATCATCCACATCGTCACCCGCACCTGTGGTCTTTGAAACCAGGATGGTAGGTCGTTCCGTTTCGGTTTGAAGAAGCCTCTCAAACTCCTTGTGCTTTATGATACGAGACACCGATTGGAGAAACTTCATTGCAAGCTGGTAGTCCTTCATCCCGAATCCGGCCATTGTGTCACTGATAGAGCTAGCTATCAAGTTTGCCTCCCGATAATTTCGGTTAGAGTCCCATGTGGAGCTCGCGTCTTCAGGGGCAGATACAAGTTCAGCCAGGTTGACAGCGGATCGGACCGTAGTTAGTAGCCACCGCTCGTTTAGCAATTGAGTCGGGATTACAGATTCCATCTTCATGTCTTTCCGTATGAAGAACACATGCCGGCAAGGAAGTAAGCGCGTCGCCATGAAGAGGCATGAGCACGTCCAACTATTCTTGTGAACCGTGTAACTGACTCGAGGCTCGTCGAGGGCATCTTCCGACCTTGATTCGCTATGGATAGCGTATACTCCGGGAAATACCTCATTATACTGATACGAAGCTTGGGCGACGGCAAACGTGTACTGCTTGTAGATCAGCTCACAAGCGTGTTGGCCAACGAGGTTGGCAACATGCTTCATCTCCTTATCGTAGTGAGTATGCTAGACGGAAGTCACTTTAAAGACTTGGTCGTTAAAGCTGCGTTCCTGACGACTCTGGTAGTACATGATGGAGGCAATGCACTCGTCCAGATCCATGAACGCGTCAACCCACTCTTTAAGCTGCTTCCATGCCGACTCTAAGCGGTTGTTAGTATTGTTTCCAAGAGTAACCGTGTTTTGACGCTTGTATGCACACCATAGCTCTCTGCAGCTATCCCAATTCTTCGTAAAGTAGGCTTCAAACGCATGCAGATTGGGGTCGCATTCCTCTTCGGCTTCATTGTGAGCATCCGAGCCGGCTTGAGTCTGAACTAAGTTCGCATCACCAACGCGAAACCCAATTGGACCCGAATCACCCGCTGAGTGCCCGACTGAGCTCGAATCCAACATTAAGTGCCCAACTGAGCCCGAATCAGCCACAGCCTGCCCGAGTAAGCTCGAACTGCCCGAAGCAACGCCAAATGTCACAAGGTGGCGGAGGTAGCGACGATGCTTCAAATAGGCTGCCTCAGTAGGAGCATACACGAGCAAATTGAATGTGCTGCGTAGCTGGTCCTTTTGCCATGAGGTGAAACCATAGTCCGAAGATGCCACAGCCTCTCTCAGATACTTCAACACGTGGAAACTGACAGAGCAGTTTAGAGGCATCCGGAAACGCTGCCCTGAGTACCGGACAACTGCGGTAAAGTCTTTGTCGATAAGAATGCTTTGGGACTCGAGTCCCATGGCCGGAATTGTTCTGGCTTAAACTCCTCGATTGCAGTGGGCGAGGAGTAGAAGGACGGTCGTTTCTGGAGGAAGGGGCGTGTTGAACAAACTTGTGCGTTGACCGGAAAGCGTCGGTGCGCGCAGGGAG